GGCTGATTGTAGCTTATTCTATCCTAATAGATGACATTTTTAAATGTGTTGATGTTCAAAATGATAAGCACCAGTATGATATGTATCATCTTCGATTATCAACTGGTTGGTAACTCTCACCAAGGAACTTTTATGCAGAACAGCTTATATCCAAATTATTTCTGTTCACATTGCAAAATGCATTCCTCCACTGTCTTCACCCTGTCCTACCCACAGGTCACTGGTAAATACTTTCACAGGGCCCTGGTGGGAATCATGTGTCATATGGAAAAAGTTAATAACCACTGTTACATAGTTGGATGGTTTATACACAGGCAATATACAATATTGGATGATAGTGTACATCAACATGATTTTGTTTGTAATTAAATGTGTGTATTTGTGCATATATACATATCTGTACTTTTTTTTTTACAGTATGTGTTACTTTCCTATAAGAAGGGCAAAAAACAAATTAAAAATTTTCAATTGTTTTTTCTTTATTTCTTTTGAAGATAATGCAGCATGTTTAAATTTTAATGTGATAACTCACACCTGTAGCATATGTGGTGTTTTGCAAGTAATTTGTTAAGGTATTTAAACTTGGTAATGATTTTTTTTATAAAGGAGAGTAGATTCAAGGTTAGTCATTTCTGTTTACGTCCATTCACTTACACATTCACAAATTAAAAAGAAAGAGTTGGAGTTACAGATAACATGTGAATGTCATAACTCGCAACCTTTCCTATAAACTCTTCCATACCCAGGAAAACTTGTAAAGTATATGGACATCTGACCAGTGTACCAAGGCAGAAAAAGGTCAGTGATCTAAGAGACAGGTGTCTTTTATAAATCTTCACAAATCAACCCTTAGTAACCCTTTGTTAAATAAAATTCCTACCTTTGTTTAATGTCATAAGACATAATCATGAAGATGTTTGTATTCTCCACTATTTTTGTGTTTCTTTAGACTTTGTTTTCTTAAGGAAAAGTAAACTCTTTATCTTTTGTTGCCTTATAATTTTTCATCTCATGAACTTGAAAATTTTAAAATTATTTTCTCCCTGAAACATCATTTCCTTTGCTTATCCTAGGAAGCTAACTCAGAATGTATATCCTTGTGTGGTTTTTAGATTGTTGTTTTTAAAGTCTTGGTATAAATCTTTCTTCCTCCTTTCCAAAATGGTCTTTACTGGTACTTTACTCCTTAGTCCACCTGTACTAATAGGCCAGTTTTAAAGAGTATCGTTAACACATTGGTCTGGATAAGGGAAAGAAAGGCATAGTTAACTTGCATCACTGCAACTCTGAAGAACCCAGAGGCACAGAGAAGGAGAGAATGTGGTTGCAACTAGAAACTGCACCATTTGGGCAGTTCTCAAGATTGCCAGATTGTTGGACAGCAATTAAGCACCATATTCTCCATTCAAAGCTCTTACCTGTATTGTAGGGTCTGGAAACCTAAGAACTACATTTCCCCAAATCCCTTCCAGCAAGGCTTGTGTTATATTTCACAAGTGAGAGATACTCACATGAATTTTAGAAAGCAGAGGAGAAACAAAAGGCATTACTGAGTCTATGGGAGGGATGAGCAGGAGAGTGGCTTTAGCAGGAGGCAATAATATTTTCACAGATAAATTTATGCTTATTCCTGTGTATTGTCCACATTGCTGTTGTAGGTATTCGTTGTGGTTTCCTGCAATTTTGCACTTCCTTGTTTCCTCAATGTCAGTGGAGGCTTTTCCTAACTTTCACTTTTCCAGTTCCTCCAATGGTTTTGCAAGATTTTAATTTCCTGTATTAAATGACTTTTTACTGGAAATACCTGTGATTGCTTCTCCTTAGCTACCTGAATCATGACTAATAGACTTCATTGGCTGCTACATGCTTCCCTTGTACAAGGTTCTAGATAATTCTGAGTGAGCCATAAGTGGAATCTATTTATAGAGCTCCTTCAACTATGTCAATGTCTATCCTTAATGGCCTTCAAAAAAATAAAGCCAATCTAATCTTTACTGGATTCCAGCATAGCTAAAACCTTACTTTTCTACAAGTTATATGATAAAGATGGTTTCCTATCATGTAGCTTATCATTTACATCCTTATGGATGTATCTTCAAATCTGCTTTAATATTTACTTGACTCATCAATTCCATTTCCTTGATGGATATTTACTGAACACTTACTTGGTGCCAGGAACTTCAAGTACCTGTGATAACACAATGACTAAAACAGTCTTGGTCCCCTGCCTTCATATGCTCCATATGTAGCAAAGATTGGAAAAAGAGAGAATCTGCAAGGGGTAAAAGATATAGGTACAACGAGGTACTATACATCCTTCCAAGTCATAGAAATATTTTGGCATAAGAATGATGAGGGTAAAAGTGATTTGATAAAATTTGAGTTTTTTAAAAAATCACTTGGCTAGTGGGCAAAGTTGGATTGGATAGGAAAATGTGAGATATAGAAAGAACAATTAGGAAGTTGCTACATTAAACCAGATGAGAGATATAGGGGTCTAGGGAGATAATCACAGCCTGAACTATGGTGGGGAGCACAGGGATGGAGAAAAGTGAATTGATTCAAGAAACATCTAGGAATTAGCACAAAATGTGAGAATTAATTGAACATGTGTTATAAAGAGACAGAAGAGACAAGAGTGACTCCAAAGTGCTTACACTTTTGGGAACTGGGTGGATAGCAGTGTCATGACTGGGACAGGCAATACAGGAAAACAAAGTGGAGGTGGGGTGGGGTGTGGATCAAAATGGCAGGTTCTGACTTAGACACACTGGGTTTGATCTGCTGGTGAGAAACTATGTGGGCACATCAAGTGGGCTGATAGAGGTCTGACGTCCAGAAGAAAGGTCAGGTCTGAAAATAGAGGTATATTCAGGCATTAACAGAATATGGTTTATATCTGCAGCCACAGGAATGAGTCCATTGACTCAAGTTCATGTACAGACTGGAGAGAGCACTGGACTAACTGTGCAGGAGCCACCATGATTTCCCTTTCTTTAGTTGTGTCAAAGGCTATCTCATCTTGGACAGGAACTCTGACATAAATTAACACACATTTCTCTAATTTCCTAAATTCTTTTTATTTCAACAGACAAAATCACTACATAAAAGACATTTTATTAATGAGTTAACATAATTAATTAGATCACAAATATTAATTGGATTCTAATAATTTACTATGACAACAGGTGATACAGTAGCATGCACATTTCCTACAGTGTAAGAATTCTCCAAGAGGAAAAAGAAAAATCTTTGAGCACAATTATCTATTAGCATCTTAAGCAAAGTAACTGCTATTTAAAAGACAAAAAGCTTCTTCTGGGACAGCTATGCCAGGTCCAAGAGAAAAATGAATTATCCAATTATATGTTACAGATATACATTATTTGTCAACTTCTTATTCAGTCTTACACTTAATCTAACTTCCATTGTTTTCATTCTTTTTCAGTATTCCAAAAGTGCAGTCTACCTCAAGACCAGTCTTTTATTTCTAGCATGAAAATAATTCAGTAAGAGCCATAATATGAATTTTAAATGTATCCATAAAATAAGTTGCTCCTGTTCACAAAGTTAATGTTTAAAACTAAATGCAAGTCATGCTGAATTTACTTAAAATTTAAGGAATCTATTCACAAATTCAGTCATACTTATAAAAAATATGATTACAATGAAACCTCATTAACAACATTCAAAGAAGTACAGCTATTTTAATATCTCAATTATTTTTCATGAATGTAATAGTGTTTTAAGCATCTTTGGTTGGATAATACTGAAATAAAATTTGTATTCACAAAATCATTAGAAGAAAAGTATTACAGCATCTATGTTCCACTATTTATAGGTAAAATTTTATTATGTATATATTCGGAAGTTATCCAAAAATATAGCTAATCATTTTGAAAGGAGGGTAACTTATGTTGAAACTGAACATTTTTAAAGTGGAATGAATGTAATGTTTTTAATAGTTCTTTTAATAGTTCTTACCAGATGGGTTCCATTTTGATGAAATTACATTGTTTTATGAATCATGAATGGGTCCATGGAAGATGAATTTCAAAAGTAAATAATAATAACACTGCAGTAAACACATTAGAGTATGTACCTGTGCAAAAACTGCTTACAAATAACCGCAAAATGTTACAAAATGCCACAAAAGTATTTCCTAATCTGATTTAATTTTTAGTGAGGACAAACTCAGCTCCAACATAGGAATAATATGTGTTCAAAAAGTTACAACAATTAGCAATGATTAAAAGTATAGTGTGGCATGCTTACTTGTTATTCAAATAGTAACTATACAAAGCAAGGACAAGTTGAAATGAGAAGTTAAATGATGGTTTACATTTCTCTGAGAATTTCAGCCTTTGATTCTAAGTTGAAGAAACTTTTCATTAATGTGCATTTGGTTTTAAAAAACAATTGGCTAACTGGGTGGTAAAGATTTCCCCCATCATTTGCCAAAACACTAATTACATAGAAAATTTCAGTTTATTTCCTTGAAGTCATTCAGATAGTTGGTAACATTTACCTGCAGTGTTGGTTTTAGTCCATAGGAAGAATAACAAAAAGGCAAAATACAATAGAGAAGAGTCTGTGGCTTTCTAGGGAAATTGGTGTTGGCAGCCTTTTCATCAGATGAGGGGGGAGAAGTGAATTATACGTCATCCCCATTCTATGCCCTAATGTGATTTTAAAGTCAACTTTTTTACCCACCACCTCTTAGCAATGCTGATAACACCAACTCCTTGTTCACGTTTCCTTCACTCTGGGAAACAGTCAAAACCATTTCTCTCTGCTTTTATTCATAATTCAACCTACAATCTAAGCAACTGTAAGCAAACTTTTGCTGCCTTGTCTTTGAATTTGAGTGTTTTTACTAGACTCTGACAACCAGTTTTCCATGAATTACACTGCAGATGCTTCCATTCAGATGCTTCCTTAAAATGGGAAATGAGGATGCACCTGCACACCCTACTCAACCAGGTTTATAGCGCTGGTCAGAATTCATCCATATATTTTCACATGGCAGTTGCCTTAGACGTTGGTAGCCTCTGTGAAAGAATCATTGGGACCATTGTTCTCTGTGGCTTCTAGGTTCTTTTTAGCTTTGAATGTCACAGATACCTCGGAGTGAATGGCGTCTAACCTCTGCTCACAGCGGAAGGCTGAGAGGAAAGCCTTTCTGTAGTTGCTGTTCATCCAGCCATAGAGAAGGGGGTTGGCAAAGGTGGAGCACATGGCAATGATGTGGAACACAGTGAAGATGAGTTTGTACTCCTTCAGGTCCAAGACTTTGTTGTCAATGTCGACAGCAAGTTGGAAGGCATGGAGCGGCAACCAGCTGACTGCAAATACTACCACCACACACACCAGCATTTTGGTGGTTTTTTGCCTCCGCTGATGGTAGTGGTCATTAGCAGCTCCAGGGGTGACATGGTTCTTAAGTTTACTCCAGATACGAGTATAGGAAACAGAGATGATGCCCAGAGGCAAAACATACAGGATTAATAAGGAAGAAAGACTGTAGACAGTGCCATAGATGCTCTTCTCCTCACCAGGCCACTTCTCAGTACAGGCCACAATCTCAAAGTCAGGAATAATCTCAATCAATGAATACTCCCGGAAGATGGCCAGGGGGCTTGCTAGCAGGGCACTGATGCCCCAAGCCAAGCCAATAATCAAGAAGCTGATTCGCTTGGAAATCTTGCTCTCCAGGTGGTAGACAATGCAACGATGCCGGTCCAGGGCAATTACTGTCAAGGTGATGGTGGACACTTGTACCGCCAGGCCCTGGGCATAAGGCACCAAGTGGCAGAGGACAGGACCCATTTTCCACTCCCCCATTAAGGTGTAGGTAAGTGTAAATGGCAAGCACAGGGTGTTCACCAGAAGATCCGCCACAGCCAGATTGGCAATAAAAAAGTTGGTTACTGTACGCATGCTCTTGAATTTGATCACCACATGGATCACCAAGGAATTGCCAATCACCCCAAGCAAGATGATGGAGCAATAGGCCAAAATAAGGACGATCTGTACCTCAATCAGCTTCGTGCTGTCTATAAGCTCCGGCTCAGAGTTAGGGGCCAGCTCCCCTCTAGGAGTGGCGTGCCCTGGACCGAACTGCTCCACTTTCATTTCTTCCACTGTCTGGTTCTCATCAGCCTCTGCACCTAATGGGCCCATTTTCATCAACTAGCACAAGAATCTACAATTTAAAAAATGAACAAATATGGAACGAGGAAAACTCAAGGGTGCAAGGAATATCACAAAAGGATTGGTTTCATTTTGGTTGGGGCTCAAAGTACCTGTCCTCTGATCCCTAAATTTGCACATAGTAGAACATTTCAATAAATTGGACCCTTTAATAGGTTTATTCACAAATATGGATGAATTAAATCAGATCCCTGAAATGTATATTATGAAGGCAAAATGTAATGTCTATAGTATAGACACAATTCCTTTGTGAATGCGACCAAATTGATTCAATCAATTTTAAGTGAGATGGATATTACAAACATTATCAATTAATTTTATAACTGCTATAAATTCATCAAATTAATTTTAAGGTAGATAAAGTTTGCTTCAATATCTTGACTGTTTTAAATTTATAAATATAGCAACTAATTGCACAGAAAAGAGACAAATATTAAAATCCTTTGCCTGGTGCTTGGGCTTTAGGAGTATAAAATATTTAAGATAAACTGAGCAGATTCTGTTTCATAGCTATTTTTTCTAATGTAGGGATTAGCATTAAAAATAGGTAGGCTGTGTAAAACAGCAGCTTTTTTTATGATCTGAAATAAACTTCCTACCTGACATACAGAGGAATCCTACATAGGAACTGTATGAAAATATGTCCAATCTGAATTTCATCTCTCTCTAATCCCTGAATACAAAAGTTTTAACACCTTTCTTCTCTAGTCACCCACCTCAACCCTCAGAATCCTTCTGTGTGCCCTACTTAGGTCAATACTATCCTCACTAATTAAGCCACGTAAAGTTAAGAAGCAGGTAACTATGCAGGCTTTTTCATCTCCTTTAGCCCACATGTTTAAGAGAACCCTCAGACTACTCTTAAATATCTCTCCCAATGGTCCTCTTATTTCTACCACATTAATTATGTCCTTCTTGATTTCTTACTGTAATAACTCTAATAGTTGTCTAACTTATCTCCCTTTTCCCTATCCTTCCTTCCTTCCTTCCTTCCTTCATTTCTTTCCTCATTCATTCACTTAACTAATATAATTAAGCATCTACTAAATGCCATAAGTGGCTCCACTCTCATGATGCTTATACTTATTCAAACGTGCATTCAGCAAGTATTTAAAACCCACTGTCAGGAATTAGGTTTTGTGCTGGGGGAAAAAACAACAGGATAGTGCCCCTACTCTAAAGCTCTTACATTTACTGAATAGAGCATACTCTGACATTAAAATGTTTTTTCTGAAATTCAGATGTGATCATTTCATTTCCCCAACATCTCCAAATTGCTTCAAATAATACTAATCAGTTTCTAATATAAAGTTACCTTCTCAAGTCTATAAAAACATCCGGAGCCCAACATCATAATGGTAGTACTTTTTGAATATGCTCATAATGAAAAAAGGCTGCCACCATTAATTCAGAACCTCTTTGAAATGAATTTCTTTTTTATTAATCATAATCACATCTACCTACATTGGTAGGTGAGTCCTATTTATTCATGCCACAGACAATGTCTGGCTGAGCCTGTTTGCTCAGCTCCATTCTTCCCCTGATGCTGGAGGGCTGACTCTTGCAGACCATATTTCCAGGCGCCCAGGACATTGGGATGCTGGCTGCGCTTGGCCAACAGGAGGCACTGGCAGGTAACTAGAAGGCAGGAGGAAGGGAGAATCCAGAAGTCACTATACTCTTCTCCCTCCCTCTCTCCTCTTACCAGTGCCTCAGCCATCTCTCTATGGCTGGCTCCCATGGGAATGGTCGGCAGTGATTTTGTTTCCAGTGGAGGCACATGGTCCCTGGATTCAGTCATACTGCTTTTTCCCTGTGTCCCTCTATCTGGAGGTAGTAATGATTCTTTGCTCTTGCTAATCCCTGTGTGGCCTCAACATCCTCTGCTTGGCTTCCATCACTTGTGTAACCAATTTTCTGCATTAAATTCCTTCTCTTTTGCATTCTTGAATAGGTTCTGTTTTGCATGATCTGCTGAGCTTCCCCTGCATATATGCTTTCATTAATTTGCTCTCCCACTACAGTTGCTGCATGTACAGGCTGATAACACTGACATACACAAGAAAACCCCAACTTCACTGTATGACATTCAAAGCTTTCCTTGAACTCAACCCTACCTTCATCTCTCCTGACATCTTAGGATATACCTGATGCTTCTGTCATACCAAACTACTTCCAATTCCAGCAACACATCAGCCTTTCTCATGCCTCTCTGCCCTCCCTCTTCACTTATCTCAACAACCTGTGCTCACTTCTAATCCTGCAAGGAGCACATGACACATCACAGTTGTTTTCCTTCAGCCTCCTCACCACAGCTGTGTCTTTTAGGACACAGTCTGGATTGTTTCCATCCATTGTTTAAATCTTAGCAAATATGGAAAGCACAATTTTACTGAATAATTGAGGTCAGCAAAATACAAAGTAACAATTTTGATCCTTTCCTTTACTGAAGATAATTGCTTATATAGGATTCTTGCTCTGATATGACATCTCTGTGCTTATTTTCTTGTTCTTAATCAGGTAACCACCTCTACAAGAAAGTTGTTCCAAGATATAATCTCTGATTAGAACATTAAAAATTGTTAGTCAGTACATACCACAAGAAAACTTTCTCTCTCCAAGGGCTTAAAACACACACACAAAGATGATAGAGATTTTCACATACTCATGCATTTTCTTTACTGATATATTCTCATTCTCTCTGCATACATTTCAAATAGAATGTTCTAAAGAGTCCAGGCTGCCTTTTGCACTTGCCTCCATTCTTTAGTGATTAGAGAAAGTGGAAACTAACCATTCGAATCTTGGAGTGTTTTATTTGATGGGCCCTTTCATTTCCCTTAGACTAAGAATGAGACTCTACAGAGCACAATTAGTCAATCCTGACAAGTCTCTAACAGAACTAATGAGACTCCAGAAGGTCTGAGTTTGAGGTTTGCAGCAAACTAAATTGGGAGCAAGCCCAAGATTGATGGTTATTAGGAGCATATTTGATTTATTAACTTATTTTGCTTTTTCTTTTCAGTCTCATTTTCTTTATTCACTTCTTTAAAGCTTCTCTACAGGAATGATTATTGATCTACAGGTTATTAGCATGTGGATTCTAATAGCTGTTCTCAAGCACACGACTGGCCTTCAACCAGGTCAGAGTGTTACCCAGAGAATGTATAATTTTATGACTGCACTTCTGGAAAAGTGGAAGAGGATAAGAGAGTACACAGAGGGAGTCGCCAGAGTAAAAACTCAAAAGCACAACAATTCAAAGATGAATAGAAAAGGGGAAAAACCTTTCCATGAAATAAGGTAAAAATGAGGCATTCACAATGTTAAAGACATTCAAGGAGAACTGTGAGTGGTAGTTTTCTTGAACGAGTGAATCATTAGAGATTCAGCTATAGAACTATTTCTTCGTAGATAGGAAAATGGCTTCAGGACTTTTTTCCCCCAGAGAGTCAAAGAACTTCAAATTATCTAAGTGGGAAACAAGTTTATGCTTTGACTCCATATTTAAATTTGTGGGGTTTTTTTGCAACAGTATTCTTACTGTCACAGGTTGGCCTTAGTAAAAACTTAATACCTTTACAATCACAAAACTTTCCAGGAATTTTTCTCAGGGAAGAATCCCAGAAAATATGCCATATGCCCTATATGTATTAGTCCTGGAGAGAGGGGGTGTGGACATCCAAGAATGTTGCATGTAAGACATGACCGTTTGCCTGATGAGCAGGAAGTTGAAAATATTCACCAAGGAGATTGGGAATGTACCTCTTCTGTCTATTTGAGCCTCTGACCTTTGAAAACAGCACTGTGTATTTCGTGTCACTGAGTTTACACGTTGTGTCCCTATTTCCAAAAGCCTTAAAGCTTTTCCTTTTGCCTCCTTTTTGTCCATCATATGCTCCTACCAGGGAGTGAGCCCTTCTGGTGCAGAACCAGCGAACGCTTACATGAATGTGTCCATTCTTGAACAGCTTTGGAGAATGCAGTATGACCTTCCCCCCTAAACAGGTGTTTGATTTTTAAAGAGGCAGGAACAGTAACAACCTGCTGTTCTGGAAAGATAATTACCTCTCTCTAAGAAGAGTCAGGGAAATAGTCAAGACTCTTCAATGGGTAAGGAATATTCCAGTGAGTGTAGAAAACAGGGATGGTCTCACCCACAATGCCCATCTTCGGCTTAAATGTGGGAAAAAAAGCCCCTACACTCATGAGGACCTCCCCCATCCCTCTTCAAAGGACCTGAAAGCTTCTTTTGGGGTGTTCTCATTATCAGAAGGTGAATCAGTTAGGACTTACACTTACTGACCCGGCCCTCGCGCTTCTGCTGAGACGTGGAAGCCAGACGTGTGCCACCTGTCAGTTTGATGATTATCTAGCCCGCCGACCCGGAGAGGGCACTGGGCCGTTCCCAAAGGCAGGCCCAGTCCGTCCGATCCGACGGTGCTGGGCAGCCGCGCGCGCGGGAGAGCAGGAGAGCGCAGCGTCCGCCTGGAGCCGCTGTCGCAGCGTCTGACAGTCGGAGCCGCTAGGAGGTTTGCGCCCCTGGGGTCTGCAGCCCACCTCCGCAGCAGAGCGCAAGGGCACCGCCCCGCCCCGCACTGCGCGGCCAGAGGAGCGTGTGGGGATCCGAGGCTCCGGAGGCGGGAGGCGAATCCCTCCCTCAAGGAAAAAGAAACAGGGGAGGAGGGTGGGGGACAAGGGTCCCGCAATGGAGAAGGCTGGACGGAAATTCTCCGTGCGATGGAGCTGGAAACAGAGTCCAGGTCTCTCCCCCTGGAGGGCTTGGAACACGCGCAGCGGGACCCTGCCCAGCGCCCCCTCCCGGGGCCCCACAGCCGCCTGCAACGGTTTCTCTTCTCCCCTGACCCCCACTGGCCACCCCCAAGTTTGATACCCTGGGTGTTCGCACCACTCCTACCTTCCACCACCCCCTCCCTTATTCTCCCGCTCCTCAGTTCTATGAGAGACGGCCCGGCGAGGACAGACCCCGGACTAGGGCCGGGCTCACCACATCCTCCGAGGAGAGGCCAGGGCGAGGGCTAGGGCGAAGGCGGGGCGGACAGTCCCAGCTGCGGGCGCTGAGGGTGAGAGGAGACCTCGAGCTGGCTCGAGGCGGATCTGGGAGGCAGAAGCCCAGCGACTTGGCGGAGATGGTAAAATCCCAGAACTGCAACCAGGAGTCGCTCTCCTTTTGCTTATAGGAGCAGAGGTGGGGCGCTGGACCCCGCGCAGAACCACGGAAAAGCGCCGCACGACTGCGCGCGGAAGACCAACCCTCCGCCAGGGCTGGAGCGCAGGGCGCCGCTGCAACTCTAACTGGGCGGTCGCTGCGCTCCAACGAGAAGGAGAAGCGAGTTCAGATCCTGTTTGCTCACGATCAATTGGTTGCAATTTCCTGAACTGGTGTCTGTTGACAGTTTACAAGTTGGGTAGTGCGCATTCAGATTCAAAAGCCGGCAGCCCGGGTGGTGTACGCTGCTGCTCAGGGCAAAATCTAGAATAGGAAAGAGAAAACAAAGGGTCACAAAAACAAAACAAAACAAGACAAATCTAAATCTTGATCTGTCCAGTTAGCTGACTTTTGGGTCCTTCGCTCTTTGGTCATGACCCAAGCTACTCGTGCCACGATGCACGCGTGCCTCCGAAATGCTCTCACCAGTCTCTTCCTGGCGTTGCCCTCTGCTAATGGCTGGAGCCCGCCAGGCTGAATTAAAGCATCAGAGCAAAACAGGATTGCGGAGTCAGTCAACAAAGCTGCGGGGTCTGTTTCCTCAGTACTCCTCCCAGAAACTCTTAATTCAGAGCCATTCCTTCTTGCAGTTTTCAGCCAATCTCTCTTCCCCTTGTTCATTTTTAGAGGGGGAAGCAGAGCCCATAGAACTAGGAAAACAAAAGACTGAAACTGGAAACCGAAGCCTTTCCTCAAATATCTTGTGCTGGGGCTTAGCACACATTACTTTCCTTGTATGCATCAGTCTCTTCATTTCTGAAATGAGAATGATCATACTGCTTCACTTGAAATTTCTCTGAAGTATAAAAAAGATTAAGCTAATTAAAAAATACTCTCCAAAATATTAGTTAAGTCCTCTTCCCAAGAGCATTGAAGTTTCAGTCTATGAGGGCTTGCCCACACCCTGATAGTGTTGCATATGTAAGGCATTTTTACTCAGCCTAATCTGAAGTTGATCTTCTGGCTAGTGTAGAATTAGGCCCACAGGAGAAGAGAAATTATTGAGAAAACAAAGAAGCTTGGGCTTTTCAATTACCAATAAACAAAAATACATAGAACTGGAAATATCCAAGATGTTCTACACAGTTCCACTTAAAATATTTTTGTACATTTTTTACCTTGGAGAAATACTCCTTGTTCACACATGTGTTTTCTGCAACAGGTTCCATGTTTCTTAATATATTTGCACCAGTGAAGAATGAACTATGTGCCAAGGAGCTGTAACTCTAGAAGAGTAGGAGTGGCTTAAAACAACAATCACAAAAACAAATACACAGGAAAACAGATGAGTGCTGTAATTGCTTTGGAGGACTCAGCAGATTTCACTGACATAGGTTGCACAAAACAACTTTGCCTCCTTTTAGAACTGTTTTTCAGAAGCATCTTAGCAAACACATACAAATATTTGTCTCACTCTCTTGTCGACACATATGTGTCTTAGAAGAGTCACATAGCTCCACAGACATCTAATCAGCAGTCCTGTTAAGATTGCATGACTTCTTTGATTAATGTTTTCCAATAAAGTACACAATTGCATGAGAAACTGATCCATGGAAATTAAAGTTGCTTTATTGTGGGTCATATTATCAAGGACAGTTTTGACAATTAACTCAACACTTTTTTGTACATTAAGATCTAACAGATATCTTTTAGTGTGCACATACTCTGTAGTACAGCAGCAATGAACCACTCCGATAAATGCCAATAAACCCGATCAAGACACTGATAGAAAGTGGTGGAAGTGGTGGTGAAATATTGATTAATACAAATTGAGACAGGACACAATTTTTACTGCCTGATTTCTGTTGTGTCAAATCATTTAGTTCCTTGGGCAATTTCACATCTAACTAGAATATGTTCTGATTGCTCCTCACATAGGGAGCAGACTCAAACTCAGATGCTTTTAGCTAGGGCGAATGACCTCAATATACCAGCAGCCTAGGCTGCAGTAGCCAGTAGGGAGGGTTGGGGGCTACCATGTGTCAGAAAGCACAAAGCACATGCTTCTTCTAAAGGAGGAGGCTGCTTCTCAGACTCCACTGAACTGTCCTGCAAAAATATAGATTCAGTATTGTGAGATCTGATATTTTAAGAGAAGCAAAATCCATATTCTTAAAATCCTTCCAGATTTTATATGAAGGAAATTAATTTTTAAAACGTCAACCCCCAGGTGGCCCAGATCTGTGAAGACCAAAATAAATAAGGAGATATAGATAGGGATAGATAGACAGACAGATGGATAGACAGATGGATAGATATCTGCAGCCTGGCCCATGGGCTTCCAATATTGTAGCCTCTCATATTTGTATGTGATGTTTGACAAACCTCCTAAAATATCCAAAAACATGACTCTCCTACCATTTTCCCTACCCATAGACCATTCCTCAGTACACATACACATAAAGGGAATGCAGCCAAATATTAATTGCTAAATAAGTAATTTTTTTTCACCACTTCTGGCTGAATAGGTGTTCTCAATGAGACTGAAGTAAAGAACATGGTGAATAACTGAACAATTTGGTATTTTAGATGGTTAGAATGAGAAATTTCACAGAAGTGCTTCATTTAAAACAACAGTTAGATGATGTCAGGATAGAAGGCCATTAATGATACATATTTTTTAGATAAAGTAAATCATGATATGGATTTCCTTCAGTCTAAATCTATTTTGAGAGCAAGGAAGCATCCTCCAATGTGTAAATAACTTCGTTGTTATTTTGATTACAAAAGTAATTTATAACGATTGTAAAAGGAGCAAAGAAAGAAATATACATTATCTAAAACAATGTTTTCCAATAAAACTTTCTGGAATGATCGAAATGTTCTATATCTGCACTGTCTAATATGGTAGCCACTAGCTACATGTGGCTATTGAGCACTTGAAATGTGGCTAGTGCAAATGAAACTGAATTTTAAATTTTAATTTTTTTAATAAAAGCACTGAAAAGAACAAATGTGTTTTGATTCCTGGGGGAAAGTTCAGAAAGCTATTTTTTTTCCCCTTAATGTCAATGTTTCCTGAGAGATTATTAAATAAGCTTCAAGCCATACAGCCCTAACTTAAATCACAGACAGAATGAAATAGTGTAGTGCAGCTGGAATGTGGAAGCTGATTCCAGAAGGAGAAAGAAGTAAGCTCCATAAATCAGGACACCAGCCCAAGGAAGGGAGGAAGAGCAAAGAACAGAAAGAGGAAGGGAAGCAAACCCATGCAGAGGAATTCTTTAAACCCAGTCATGTAAGAAAAGCTCAGTGAGCCTTATTAGCTTTTATTAAATAATGTACTTAAATTCTCAGACTGAAAAAAAAATCCTAATAACAAGTCCCTAGATAGGAAATGTTAATAATCAGGTTAGCTTAACAGTTAGTTATAGTGCTTAGTATATTTGAAAATGACTCTGTCTTGCTTTATTTAAATGTTCAATAAACTTAGTTATTTATTCTTAGGCTTATTAAGTCCTTCCTACAGAAATTGTTTTTAAAGTTTCAATAACACTCTCCTATAGTAAAAAATTATGGAGCCTAGCTATCCTAATGTCCATTTTGTTATATTGTTGATTCTCAATAGGTTGTAGATATATTTCTGATTGGATATGAAAAGGAACAATGGGAGTTAAGTTCATATCTGAACAGATACAATGGAGGATGTACCAAGTAGACATAGAAAAAGAGACTAGTTTATGTAAATGGAGCTGCAAGTGTAATAACTTTTAAATTAGCCTACCTTTTTAAAAACTAGCCAGTCTAATCACACTTGTTCTGATGAAAAGGTAATCTTGTTCTGCTTCCTTCTATCTCATTGAAAACTTAGTTCATTTGGAACAAGTGGACCAGTAAATATGTGAGTGGGCAAGAAGTGGCCCAGACAGTGAATTTCACAAAGCTCACAGTCTGGATTCTCTTACAGTCCTTGTATGCAGTGTGTTATGTAGGCAGGTGTCTCATTCAAGAAAAGCAACTAGTCATTCAGAGTGAAATGTATGCTAAATCCTAAACTGGACATAAATATCATTTGCTATGATTTGTATTTCTATGGATTCTGGATTTTTACTTTTGTTTTGAATTTTTAATTACAGATTCAAAGTAATTAAGCAGGATTGTAAGCAACACATGCAACATTTTGCTGAGATTTTTATCTTTTGGTGATCATCCAAATGGATATTGAGACTGGTAAAGGGCCAAATCTAGAAGGATATTTAAATGCAAATGATTTACAGTTCAAATTTTAACATGGAACAAAGGAAGAGATATTTTTATTTGGAATTCAGAATTTAATCAATGCAAATGTTTATTGGATTATCTGAAACGTGCACAGGAGGCCCATGGCTAAAGGGGAAACCTGCACTCTTTTAGAAATATCAACTTTATTTAATGTGTTTATCCTTGTAGCATAGAGGCATAATTTGATATGTATTTTTTGAATCATACACTCGAAACAAATTTAATTTTAAAATTTTCTCAAAAAAGTACAAGTAAAATCAAAGCTCTCATACTAAATTACTATTGGTTTATTTTGAGAGATGAGAAGTCAAAGATTTATATAGTTTTCACATGTTATTTTGGAGATGATGAAATGGCTTATTCAAAGTAAAAATTTCAAAACGTGAAATGAATAATGCAAGTAGGATTAAATTCAGGACTCACTACTCTTTGTAGTAAAAAAGAATTATATAAAAATCCATGTAAACATTTTATTACTCACAACTCCTGTCAACAAATCTTTATAGAGTATATAATTTGTTATAGGTACTGTGCCAGATGATGTCCACACAAGGCGAATGACACAAAGACCTGGTTGTTTCTAGTCCAAGTATGTAGACTTTTAAATAAAGAAGTACCATAAACAGCTTGAGATTTTCTGGTAGACTCTAACATAATGGATTTCAATGCCAAATCTGGCCTCTGTACTCCAACACAGAATTAAATCTTGGAGACAGAGTTTTGGGTAAAGTAAAAAAGAATAGGTTTATTTCTTTGTCAAGCAAACAGGGCCACAGCAGGCTAATGCCCTCAAAACTGTATGTACCAACCTAGAGGGGGTAGTGAGAAATTTTATAGTAATGGTTCAAAGGCAGTGTGATCAGCTCATGGACATTATTCTGATTGGTTGGTGGGGAGGTAATCGGGAGTCAGCATCATCAACCTTCTGGTTCCAACCCATCTGGGGTCTACGTGCTTGTGGGTAGCATATAGTTAACTTCTCCCACCTGGTGGGGGTTTCAGTCTCTGAAAAACAGCTCATGTGTATCCCTTGAGAGGGAACCAGGACCCTGCCCCAAAGCTACACTACTGTTTCTTGACTGATCCTCCCTTATCTCTGCATTCCCTCCCTTCCCTGATTAGCAACTGTTTGAACCTGCCCCGTTGGAACTCGGGGAAGGTCATGGAGGCTGAATGAAGCCTATTTCCTGTAATCAAGAAATGAGGGACTCAGAAAGGCTTTAGTACCCAGGATCCCCACAGGGTCCTGCTCAGTTCCAATTTGAGGCCACAAAGAAGGAATGTTCAGTTTTTGTTTTTGTTTATAAGAGTTGTGTGTGTGGAAGGGGGAAGAATCAGGGAAGTATTTCATGCAGGAAGTAACTCAACTCAATGTAAACCTAGATAGAGACCTTCTTGGCTTTACCCAGCACTTGGATACCATTTTCTCTTGGAAATAACCTTCTGAAAACCAAAGTATCACCCATGCATGCATGGGTGATATATTCAGAATCTTTTGTTGAATTCTTGGAAATAATTGCCAAGACACTCAATTTAATCATTTAACATCTAGATCACACTTGAATAAAAAATTCATTTCCTGGGATTTAGTCTACATTTTCTTTATCATCACTGAGTTGTTCTCTCAACATTAATAACTAAAAGCAAATATTATAGAAACATAATCTTCTAGCAATTCTGTCCTCTGGCATCTTTTTGATTTCTTCCATTTTGTGAGAGTATAAAAAATAGCTGTAATAGGGCTTTTTTTTTTTTTTTTTTTTTTTTTTTTTG